CTAGTGTGAGCTAAGGAATCTAACATTTTTTTATCTAAGTCAAGACCTTTTAACTAGTTACTAAGTTTTAAGCTACAGAACATAGTTACCAAACAAATAACAATTATGAAATATTTTAAGTGCAAAAAGTCAATAAAAAGTAGGTAACTGGCCAAGAAAACTTGTTATTATTTTCCTACTACTTAGACAGTAGAATAGATATAGTATAGATATAGTAAAATTGGAATATAGTTACGAAAGTATCATCAATTTTATGAAGTAAATACACCTGGTTGACTAACAAAATTCTTCTGCAACGGTAATTAGGAAGGACAAGAATCACACATGATATTGATTCTTGACAAAGGATGCTAAGATATTATATGCATCAAAGATGGATTCTACTTTATAATTGTAGGAGTGTGCAAGAATATAGATAACTCAGGTGATTCATACCTAAGTCTCCAATATGCATGCAGTAAAGAAGTATAATTATGAAAAGGGTCCAGTCATATTAGTAATTCCATAGGATGCGAAACAGAAAGCATACACGTACTTTGAAACGTGGTACATGCGTCAATTTACAATCTTTTTTATTGTTCAAGTGTATTGAAGTTGGAAACAGAACTTGCACAAATAATGGTCTATCCATAGCTAATATCAACTTAAATTCACTACATCAAAACAGATATCCAGCTACCAGCGCCAAACTGTGCACAGAATGTAGGGAACCACGGTTATAAGTGCCATAAGCACAGCCGAAGTATTGGGTCACTTTGAATATGATAATGTAGAATAATGGGATATATATTCACAAAATAAATAAATAGCAGTTAAAATGTGAGTTATGAACAATATATAGGCATATGTGGATCTACAGGCACATTCAATAAACTTGAACCATTTTTCCATCCTCAGGGTGTCTTGGATATGGATGCACTTATAGTCAGATAATTAAATACATGAAAAATGATACTGTCACGGTTACATAATACGGTTTCAGCCAAGACCATATAACAGTTTTGTTGCTAAGTGACATCAGATTTCAAAATATCTGAAAAATATTAGAGCAGTTCCAGACGTGCATTGAACCAGTTCTGTGTCCAAGAAGTAGGGAGTACCTTGACGGGACATAGAAAATCTTCTCATTTCAGATTTCTATATTCTTTCATATTCATGCTTTTACCGAAATCTAAAGATCTATTTGTTCATAAACTGAACCAAAAATCTGATTTGCCCGGAGCAAAAGAAAATATTCCATATAGAAGTTAGTGACGGAGTTATTTCTAGCGTACCTGTGCCATTGACCACTAGCACCAGCTGAATATCCCAGAATATTTCCAAGAGCCATCCATGAGCAAAATATTGCACCATTGACCACTAGCACCAGCTGAATATCCCAGAATATTTCCAAGAGCCATCCATGAGCAAAATATTGCATTTGCAGAGTTGCACTGATCAGGGCCTACCCAGAATATTTCCAAGAGCCATCCATGAGCAAAATATTGCATTTGCAGAGTTGCACTGATCAGGGCCTACAGAAAATATTTGGCATCAACATTTTGTACAACAGTGTGAAGATCCTTTTCTTGAAGCTGACATGGTGTTCAGATCATTGTGAAGTCTACCCTGCACTAAGCTCAAAATGAACACAAACTCACCTGAGAGATCAGCCAGAAGAGCCCTAGCTGGACCCTACAATAAAACACACGAAAAATGTAAAAAGATGCTGACGTGGAAATGCATTACTTAAACTACAGGTAAATAAAAATATATATACTGGTGTCTCAACATATAGGAAACATGGGTGACCAAATAACGTCATCAAAGCGGGAGAGCTCACTTGCACTGTATTGTTGGCAAGATCTAGCATCCAAAATCCCATAATAAAAATGACCGCTGCTCGCCATCTGGGACCTTTATAAGTCCTGTTCATATTGCAAATCTTTTGTCAACATGTAAGCCTATTTTATCCAATTACAAAGTAGAGGATGAATGAAAATACATGCAATCTTCATGAGTATCTCCTAAGAGGAAGCCCACGTCTGCAGCAAATCCAATTAGTGTAACCTAAATTACAAATACAAAATACAAATCAGAACAAACACTAAATGCAATAAATTGGGAAAATTGAATCTTGTAATACATCACTTACAGCAAAAGAAATCATGATGCATCCTGCCAAAATAAATGGCCTTCTCCTTCCTAGTCTTAAATGACATTTATCGCTCCAAATACCAACACAAGGTTGAACCTAGGTACAAAAACTTGAATTAGGTCCATGGCCGTTTGAAGAGGCTCATGTTAGGTATTGATAGATTTATATGCAGTTGTCAATCATCTATCAACATGACTTATGGTTTAATGAGGATTTCTAGAAATGGAGTGTATTTATAGGAATCAGTGACAGAGTGAAGTCGCCTGTTGGACACAAACCAAAGCCTCAAGTATCATTTTGAAAGCTAAATTGGGTCGCATAAAGTACAGGACAAAAATATTGAGAATGTAGCTTCATAAAAGCAAAATAAATAAATAAAAAAGAATTACTAACGATTGGGAATTACAAAAGTTTAACATCTTACTATCAATCCTGTGATGGGTCCACAAAGCCAAATGAATGAAGAAAAGGCATGTTGGATCCCTAGTGTCTGCGCCAATTAAAAGCAGAATCATTAGGAAAGCCAAGGCAGACAGTTGATCAAGAATAATGCCATATTTCATAGTACTGAGAAGAAGAATAATGGAAAAAGTAAGAAATAATATTTAGTAACCTACGCAACATAGAGCATTGAGTCTCTGGCAGAGAATAATTATTCATCAGTACATAATTTATTTCTATAAACCAGAGCTGTAACCATGCTTTATCTCACTCTATTCAATTATATTTATACGCTTCTATACTATTTATATTATTGCATTCATATCTAATTTATGAATTATCAATCTCGCATCAATTGCCGATCATTTGGAAATTTGAAACTAAGTTCAAGCCTGAATTTTCAAACTACTTCACCATTATCATCTAATCCTTTTTACCGTTTAAATTGAGTTAACTATGCAATACAGTTATGCAAAATTCCAGACTGTCAACAACTAATTTATTAATCATTTTTAACCAGGGGAAGTCCCCTAAAGCCATCAACAACACAATAGGGTATGTGCTTTATTAATTATGTAGTTCAAAAACCAAAGATAAAAACCTCCAAAAAATCGTCTATACTAGTTTTCTCTCTTATTTCTCCTTATATCGCACACTCGGCAAAGAATATAAAATTAATTTCCCTTAAATCTAAGGAATGAAACTACTATGTCACCTATCCGTCTAAATCTGAATGCCCTATAAACCTTAAGTACTACACTAATATCAAAGGCCACAGGCTCACTATTGTTCAGTGCATCATTTCTAACATTAGCACATGAAAATCACCAAATTTCCATCAAACATCCTGATATAAAAATAATACGAAAACAACAGCAAAAAAGCCTTTATCTCAAACTTTTGGGCAGGCTAAAAGAATCCTATTCTTCTATTCAGTTCCATTGTCGTTTATCTCAATGAACTATTTTCATATCCTTCTTAACTACTTTCAACAAAGCACTTTTTCTACCTCTAGTCCTCTTTGCCCCAATAACTGCAATCGTATAATCCGCAAACTGGTGAATTTAGAGATCTTTGCAGCTAATACAAAAGAAATCAGCCTTCAAAAGACAAACATCTAGAATTCCAATCGCGCCCCCCTCTACGCAAGTATTACAAACACCTGTTACACTCGAATATGCCAATTTATATGTCATGTACTAATTTCATAACTATCTTGCTTCTAGGAACAATTAATAAAAACAAGATAGCACACGCTGCTAACCCCTAAATATCTAAAATCCACCATCTCTTTTAGTTAGCGCCATTTCTCCAACCATAAACTAGACAGCGCTCTTTAGCTCGCCCGCGTGCTTCTTGGACCTCGGCGAGAGTTCCGATCCCGCGGCGAGCCTACGGATCCGCGACCGGTATCATCAGTCATCTTCGAGTCTCTCGCCGTCGCTCTCTATATTCTTCAGGTGGCGGTAGGGCAATCGGATCGAGACCGCGTCGGCCATCGGTTCGGATCTGAGGAGGTCGATTGCGAGATTTAGAAGGCGATTACCATGAGAAGATAGAATCTAGGGTTTGGGGGATCGACGAGATCTGAGGAGAGAGGAGGGGAACGGAAACAAACCGCATTAGAGAGAAAAACAGAAAATTGATTTTTCAGGTTGGGGGTCACGATTGCTGACCAGAGAGAGTTGAAGCGCTTGGCGCGTGGTGAGGTGGTGGTGGAGATTGTGATTATTACTGGTCGTCGCCAGCTAGCTGCTTTGATAATCTTTAATTTACAGAGTTGATTTTTTTTTTTTTTTTTTTACTCTTTTTCTTCTCGTTTTCGCTTCTCTCTGCAGAAAAGGATTTTCTTTTTAAAGGCATGTTTGGATTGGGGGTATAACTGATGTAGGAAAGTTAGGGGGCACCTATGAACTCTGTTTAGAATTCATTGCTTGAATGAAAATAAAAGGGAAAAGAAAAGAAAAAAAAAAGAAAATGGTGTTAAGGTAAATACCGGAAAGAGTTTAAGGTAATCAAGAGGAAAAATTTTTGAGATTTTGTTCCTCAAATTGGGGTGTAACGGAGGGAAAGTGAACTCTAAAAAATATATTACCCAAAAATAAATTTACTCTCATATGAAGATGAGATCAAAAGGGTGAAAATAACATATAATATTATTTATATAAAGGGCTGTTTTGTTGGCCAAAAAATAAGAAAAATGTATTATAGGAAATATATTTCGTATTACTTTTTATTTTTTCTTGTTTGGTTCACATCTGAAATACCCTAAAATCAAGTAGAATGGGGGCATGGCACCCTACCATTGGTTGATGTGACCTACATTAAAAGGAACTCATTTCATGTGTTTTTGTTTGAAAATAGGAGGAAACCACCAAAAAATGATTTCCTTCCTTCCATTTCCATGTCTTTGGGTTTTCAAGAAACTAACAAAAATGCCCTAAATATACATATATTCACTTACATTTCCTTTACTTCATTAAATTTTTCCAAACATGGTGAAATAAGTTTCCCTTGGTTCACATTACCCAATTATCAAACAAGTTTTATATATTACCTTAATTTTTTTTAACTTATCCTATATTTAATTAACTCCCTTCCAGTGTGGAAAATTCCAAACAAACCAATAGAATCTGATAGTTAGCAAATCTATTACTTTGGTGTAGGAGAAGGAGATTGTTTATCTCAGGCCCATCATTGGATTCTTAGCAAGTCACTTGTTTGATGCTCGACACTTTCAGTCTTGGAGGACTTGAGTCTCATAGTTTTATTTTATGCATTTTTTATTTTTATTTATTGTTCTTATAGTTATGAACTTGGTTCTTACTATAAACTAGGTGTTATATCTCACTTTTATTTTTATTTTAATATAAGGAGACATCCTCACTCTTTGATTTTTGGGGGAGAAAATAGCATCAAGGTAGTTGTTAAAGGCTATAAGCAAGGTATACATGAATTGGTAATTGGATACTATGGCTCATAAACAAATACTTTGTTTCCAATAAAAATACAATTCATGCCATAATAAAATGAAAATCTGTAGGATTTCCCATCTAACCAAACATTTGAATTGAAATTAGAAATGAATTTTCTAAATCGATAATTAGCATCTTTATTGGTAAATATTACTATTGCCTTTTAATAACCAAAATAAATATGCATGTCAAAGTGCTCATTTCGTTTGATACATGTTACATATAATTAGTTTGAGTCATAAATTAGTCAATATTGCATCCTAAAGTTTTAGTTTCTTGAGCTCAAATTGTGATGCGTCCTCAGTTGCTTAGTCTGAAATGGTTTCAAACACTCCCCCCCCCCCCCCAAAAAAAAAAAAAAAAATCGTTCTTTATTTTTTACGGGCAGGACCGCATGTATTTTCCCATATAAAATTGAAAAAGTCTTCGCCTTGTAAGCACATCATGCTTTATTGCTTTACTATGTTTCTAAGGTATTTTGATGGCCCTGCTTAATTACTTGACTTATAATTTCTTTTTGTTTATTGGTTTTCTCATTCTATTAGGTGATTTATCATTTTCTCTACTCATTTGTGGTGTGCAGTTTCTGCGGATTAGTTAAAGTGGTCCGTGAAGTTGAGTATTAAATAATTTTTGAGTATGGATACTTGACAACTTCAAAATGCGTAAATTGCACTAAACCGCTAAAGAACTTTTCAGAGCTTTGCAATAAAGCCCCAATAACTTTCAAAATCAGACTAAAGCCAAAGAACGTACAACATTTTGTAATAAATCCACAAAAACTTTCAAAATCGCTCTAAACCATTAACAACATTTGCAAAAAAAACCCCTTAAGTTAACCTCTGGCAAGTGCAACTACTGTGACTCAAAAGGACCAAAATACCCCTTAAGTTATTACAAAAAATACCTTTTTTAATATCTTCAAACTAAAAATAGAAATCTTTCGTCATTTGGTATTCGTTTTCCTCTTGTTTGCGCACAGGTTGGTGTCCCGAATACTATTTTATTTTCCTATTTTATTTTTTGATATCTCCAAACTAAAAATACTTTTCTTTTTCCATGGATTATTAGTACCATTTCTTAGTTCTTTGGAGGCAGCAAAAGTATTTCTCCTCCTTTTCTTTTTTCGTGTAATACCATCAGTTTCAGATTCTGAAGGTGGTGATTTCCCAAAGGTAAAGGTCAGATTAGACATCTGTGCTATACACTGGGCCTCGGTCAACATCTTTGGTGCTTGACCCCTCTCGCATTTGCCATCAAATGAAGCACCATCATTTCGAAATCTATGTGTTATGGGCAAAAATCTACGATTACCCAAATAACATTGCTTTTTACAATTAGGCAAGCGTTTTGATACTGTTTGATGATGACATTGAGGACATGCAAGCTTCCCCTTCGTACTCCATCCCGAAAGATTCGCATATGCAGGAAAGTCATTTATTGTCCACAACACAGCAGCTTTCATGTTGAATGACTGATTGGAAAACACATCATAAGTGTTGGCACCAACCTCCCATAACTCCTTTAGCTCATCCATTAAAGGTTTCAAGTACACGTCAATATCATTTCCAGGTGCATTAGGGCCTGGAATGAGTAAAGAAAGAAACAAGAAGGGTTGCTTCATGCACATCCACGAAGGCAGATTATAAACAGAAATTACGACGGGCCAAGTGCTATGATCACTACTCATATGTGCAAAAGGATTGAACCCGTCGCTTGCCAAACCCAATCTTACATTTCGAATTTCAAATGCAAAATTCGGGTAAAACGAATCTAAATGCTTCCAAGCTGGAGAATCTGACGGGTGTCTCATAAATCCATCTTTAGGGCATTCGGTCGCATGCCATCTCATATATTCTGCAGTATGTTTTGACATATACAACCTTTTCAACCTCGGTGTTAGTGGAAAATACCGGAGAATCTTAGCTAATACTTTCTTACTATAATTATCCCCAGTTGAACTATCACCAACTCCTTTAGCTCATCCATTAAAGGTTTCAAGTAAACGTCAATATCATTTCCAGGTGCATTAGGGCCTGGAATGAGTAAAGAAAGAAACAAGAAGGGTTGCTTCATTCACATCCATGGAGGCAGATTATAAACAGAAATTACGACGGGCCAAGTGCTATGATCACTACTCATATATGCAAAAGGATTGAACCTGTCGCCTGCCAAACCCAATCTTACATTTCGAATTTCAAATGCAAAATTCGGGTACAACGAATCTAAATGCTTCCAAGCTGGAGAATCTGACGGGTGTCTCATAAATCCATCTTTAGGGCATTCGGTCGCATGACATCTCATATATTCTACAATATGTTTTGACATATACAACCTTTTCAACCTCGGTGTTAGTGGAAAATACCGGAGAATCTTAGCTGATACTTTCTTACTATAATTATCCCCAGTTGAACTATCACCAACTCCTTTAGCTCATCCATTAAAGGTTTCAAGTAAACGTCAATATCATTTTCCAGATGCATTAGGGCCTGGAATGAGTAAAGAAAGAAACAAGAAGGGTTGCTTCATTCACATCCATGGAGGCAGATTATAAACAGAAATTACGACGGGCCAAGTGCTATGATCACTACTCATATATGCAAAAGGATTGAACCCGTCTCTTGCCAAACCCAATCTTACATTTCGAATTTCAAATGCAAAATTCGGGTACAACGAATCTAAATGCTTCCACATTTCGAATTTCAAATGCAAAATTCGGGTACAACGAATCTAAATGCTTCCAAGCTGGAGAATCTGACGGGTGTCTCATAAATCCATCTTTAGGGCATTCGGTCGCATGCCATCTCATATATTCTGCAGTATGTTTTGACATATACAACCTTTTCAACCTCGGTGTTAGTGGAAAATACCGGAGAATCTTAGCTGATACTTTCTTACTATAATTATTCCTAGTTGAACTATCACCAACTCTTGTTACTTTTTTCACTTTATATCTTGACGCACCACATGTAGAGCACATGGTTAAGTTTGCTGTCTCTTTCCAAAATAACATGCAGTCGTTAGGGCAAGCATCAATCTTCTCATAAGTAAGACCTAAATCATCAATAATCTTTTTAGCTTGTGAAATAGACCGTGGCAAACAATATCCCTCATGCAACATATCTTTAAAAAGCTCTAAAAACATATCAAAAGCTTTGTTAGTCACATTTCTCAAACACTTGATCTGGTACAATTTTACGACGGCATCCAATTTTTTATACTTCTTGCATCCTGGATACAACTTCTTATCAGCTTGTTCAAGTAACTTTAAAAAATCGCTCTGCCTCGGGTGTTTGACCATCAAAAATAGGCTGCCTCGATGACCCTACGTTCTCACCAATATTTGGTTGCACAAATGTCTCATTAAGGAAATCATGCATTTCACCTACATCTCCTTCAGCAACATCCATTTCCATGACATTTGTTGATTCAACGTAAGGCTCACCATGATGTGTCCATCGAGCATTCATGTACAAAGGGTCCATTCCATGCCAAAGAAGATGTCCCACCACAGTCATCTTATCTTCAAAATAACGATTACAACATTCTTTACAAGGACATGTGATCTTATCTTTACGACTAGACTTGGCAAGGGCTTCATCTACAAATAAGTTCAACCGTGCAACATAATCTGGACTTCGGCGATCAAAATGTACCCAACTTTTATCCATTGTTGAACTATTTTGCAGAACAGAACACCAAATTGAACCTATTCACACATGCAAAACCTAATCAGTCAATGGTCAGAACTAAGTAAAAAAAAATAGAAAGAGATAGAGACAAACATCAAACCCCTAATGTGAAATGGAGAATACAACAGAAGTGAAAACAGTCTATCTGATGCATCAAGTTTGACATCAGTTTGTATTGCATAATTAGATGTATGGTATCTAAAAAATATTAATTCTATTTTGGTTTGTAAACTCTTTGACCATGTTCAGATAATTAAACATTCTCTTACAACTATTATTTTGGATTTCTCATTTTACCTATGCAAATAATTACAATAGTTAAGCATAGGATCCAAGTAGAATTCAGCAGTAACCACCAAACATTCTTGGAGTTATATATTTTTTTATTTTTTATTTATGATGATATTTGTGGGGGGGGGAGGGGGGCATGATATCAAGCAAATACATAAAAAATGAGATGCAATACACGCACTGTCCATGCAAGTAAAAGCATGCAATCTTTATAATCAAGTCGTAGTTTTTTGCATTGACTTTACAATTACAATTTCTTTGTGGTTTTCTGTGCGCCTAGGTACATGAACAAATGAGACTGAATATCAACTAATAATATGAAAACGTTAAAGATTTCCTTGCGGATGAAGGTGAGCATGAGAAGGATGATAAGAGAGTACTTTCCGGGATTCAGGATCTAAATTCTTAATCATATTTCTTAATATAAACGTCTACTAAGAAATCTATACACCAAGAACAAATTTCCTCATTAAAATAATTAATTAACGACACAAAAGTAATCCAATAAGAAATATAATAAAAAGAAATAAACTCAATAAAAGTCAATGGAATAGTCATGATGCTAAAATAACGCTAAAAAGTGGATTTACCTTGAAGGCACCCTTGCAATGGTGGCAACGAAATTATACTGAAAAAAATTATACTAACATTAAAACAATTATACTGAAAAAATATAAAAAGAAAGATGACCTAAAAACAATTACACTGAAAAAATAGTCTAATCTAAGATTTTTTTTTAATTTTCTTAGATAAAAATAAAATTAAATCGTCTACTAAAATTCGAACTTCGATGACTCGTCGGGATCGGTGAAGGAGATCATCGCCGACGATCTGAAGAAGAAGGATGCAGAACAAGCCGCTAGGGCTTGATGTGAAGAATGAGGTCGGTACAAAAATAATGAAAACGAGGGTGAGGTTGAAGGTGAGATTGAGAAAGAGGAGGGTAAGTACAAAAATAAAAGAAAAAAATTACCGATCGAGAAAAAACTCTATCAGATTGGAATGAGGAGGATCTGTACTCGTCGCTGTATTTATCACTAAATTCCATCAGATTGGAACGAGGAGGATCTGTATTTATCACTAATTCCTACAAAAATATATTCATATTCCTACAAAAATATGATTGATCTTCCATCAGAGGAGGGTGAGGTTGAAGGAGATCACCGCCGACGACCGAAACGAGGAGGATCTGTACTCGTCGCTTGGGCTCAGGCGGTGCAGAACAAGCCGCTAGGGCTTGATGTGAAGAATGAGGTCGGTACAAAAATAATGAAAATGAGGAGGTTGAAGGTGAGATTGAGAAAGAGGAGGGTGAGCACAAAAATATAAGAAAATAATTACCGATCGAGAAAAAAAAAATTACCGAAGTACAAATCTGATCGGAGATAGGGCCGACCGTGCGGATTTTTTATTGTTTTTTTGTGGGGGGGAGGGAAATGGACGAGAAGAGTTAGATTTTAGGTTTTAGAAAATATTAACCCTAATTTGTTATTAAAAAAATCTAAAACAATAGGGACAGATGTAGGTGCCTCTGTAGGGGGCCTGAGGCGTGGTTTTTTTCTCTCGAGGAATATAAGTGGCGCGGTTTTTTTAGAGAATTTAGAAAACATTAGGGGCGGATATATATGTGCCTGTATTTAGTCCAAATTACTTAATTTGGCTCCTCTATTATTTTCAAATGTCTTCGGGTGGGCCTGCTGCTGAAAAATGCGTCTCTTGCTTTGCTTCGTGGCCCCCACAAGTAATTGTTCACGCGTTGATCTCCTCAAATGTCCGCATTCACTTCACGTGGTGATCTCTTGCTTTGCTTCGTGGCCCCCACAAGCAATTGTTCACGCGCGTCTGTGTTACCCAACTCTTCACGTGGTGGGTTGGCCCACGTCACATTCACAATTCTCCACCTCGGCGAAGTTTTCCCAAAACTGAGCTGACACTAAAGCATCCAAGTGTCCCACTTGTTGTATCCAGTACGTGAAGAGTTGGGCAACACAACAAGACGTGCGTGAACAATTGCTTGTGGGGGCCACAAAGCAAAGCAGGAGATCACCACGTGAAGTGAATGCGGACATGTGAGGAGATCAACGCGTGAACAATTACTTGTGGGGGCCACGAAGCAAAGCAGGAGACGCGTTTTCAGCAGCAGGCCCACCCGAAGACATTTGAGCTTTATAAATATCTTTTGTGCAGTTTCCCTAGGGTTTGGCGCAAGTGTAAGGCAGCATGCGAGCGGAGTCTTTTGGCGGCTAGGTGTGCAATTGAGGGGGAGTTGAAGAAAGTGCGGCTGCGGGAGAAAAAGTCAGCGACTTTCTTTGGTTTCGTGTAAACAGGCTTTTGTGCTTTTGAGAGAGATAATTATGTGAGGGTTTAGATTGAGTGATTGTAAACCCTAGTTGTATTATCTCCTCTCTAATAGTAGATCTCCCCCCTCCTTGCCCCGTGGACATAGACAGTTTGCCGAACCACGTAAAATTGATTTGTTTGTGTTTGTGACCATTGTAATAGTTTTTAGGATCCCTCGACAAGTCAGTCCTAGAACTGATAAGAGGAAGAGTCGATATCTCATTTTGTTGAGATATTCGCTTCAGATTCTTGTTTCCTTGGTGAGACGGGAATTCTTATTGATCTTTCTCTCTTATTGTGCACCAAAAACTCTGCTGAAATTTTTGCTGCGCACAACAAGTGGTATCAGAGCTCGGGATACGCTTAGGCTATTTGAAGGAGTAGATCGATTTGAAAGCTCGTCTAGGGTTTTGTTTGGTGATAAAGGTGGGATCTTTTGGTAAAGACTCTATCTTTTTATTTTTGGATCTATTCTTCGTTCGTTGGTACGTTGAGAAAGATGTCGGGGAAAGAATGTGCTTCGGGTGTCGAGGGTGGTGCTTCTGGCGCGAAGACCATTCAGAGTTTGAATATCCACTCTATGAAGATAGATGTGGAGAAGTTTAATGGCACAAACAATTTTGGATTCTGACCGCGCAGAATTTGGAGGATACCTTGGATTTAGATGGCAAGCCAGATGAGATTGAAGAGAATGTTTGGAAGAAGATGAATCGAACAGCGTGTGGTGTGATTAGGTCTTGTTTGACTCAAGATCTAAAATATGATGTGATGAATGAGACTTCTGCAAAGAAGATTTGGGAGATTCTCGAAAGCAAGTATCTGACAAAGAGTGTTGAGAACCGCTTACATTTGAAGAGAAGACATTATCGTTTCCAGTTGAAGAAGGGAACCTCAATTAGATATCACATGAACACCTACACAAAGCTTCTTGCGGATTTGGCGAATGTGGATGTCATGATTGAAGATGAGGACAAGGCGTTGCTGTTATTGAGTTCATTGCCCGACGAGGAATATGAGACATTCGTCCTTACTCTGATTAATGGGAAGACATCTCTTTCGTATAGTGAGGTCACTGCCGCACTGGTGAATTATCAGCTTCGGAAGAAGGATAAGGAGACTTCGACTGAGTCGGTAGCAGAGGCGTTGGCTGCAAGAAGGAAGGGTCCAAACCAAAAGAATTGGAAGTCACAGTCTAGAGTAGGAAAAGATCAATGTGCTTGGTGCAAGGAGACTGGTCATTTGAAGAAAGACTGCCCAAAGCTCGACGAATGGATGAAGAATAAGCAGAAGGGAAAAGGGAAGAAACCATCATCAGAAGCAAACATCGTATCGGATGGTAATATTTCTAACTCTTCTATTTATTCGCTTTCTATCGGTCCTACAGATAGCTATTCGAAGGAATCTGAATGGATGTTGGATAGTGGTGCGACCTATCATGTGTGCCCTAGAAGGGAATGGTTCTCCAGTTTTGAGAAGCTGGTGGATAGTGGTGTGGTGTACATGGCTGATAACCGTGTATGCCAGATCCTTGGGATAGGAAGAATTCGCATAAAAATGTTTGACGGGACTGTTAGGGAGTTAAATAATGTGAGATATGTTCCTTCTTTGAGGAAAAACTTGATCTTAATTGGAGCTTTGGTTGGAGAGGGTCTGAATGTTCAAATTGAGGACATAGTTCTCAAGATTATGAAAGACTCTCAGATTGTGATGAAGGGCATCATGAGGAATAACATGTATTACTTGACTGGAGGTATAGTGGCAGGTCGAGAAGTGACGACTTCTATTGATTTGACTAGACTACGGTATTTGGGGCTTGGCCGTTTCAGTATTAATTTCTCGCATAGATTAAAAGAGGGTACGAAGACCTGCAGTTTGAAGTCCAGTGAACATGTTGATGTGAGCAAGAAGACCGAGGTGAAATTTGGCACCTCTATTCACCATGCTAAGGGTCGTTCTGGAGGTGTTCATGTGGATGTTTGGGGGTCTTCCAAGGGAGCATCGTTGGGAGGTAATAGGTGTTTGGTTTCCTTTGTTGGTGGATATTCTAGGCGTGTTTGGGTTGCAACCAAATCCCCTTTGGAGAAAGTCCTAGTAGTATCCAACAGATTGAAGAAGTATGTGATAGACAGAAAGGTGAAGGTACTCCATTCGGATTTGGGTAAGAGGTACAAGATGGACCTATTTCTGTATTGGAGCCGAGCTCACGGTATTTCGAGACACTTCGTTGAAAGGAAATCTTAGGACAACTAGATAGGATGACAAATTTGGAGAACCGTGCCTTGCTGGAAGAGGATCGGTGTTTGTGGTTGAGCAATGGTTTGCAGAAGAAGTTCTGGACTGAGGCTGTA